CACTGCGCCACCAGGGAGGGCCCTCTTTTTTTTTTTTTTTTTTAAGGTTTATTTATTTATACATACAGAACTGGGGCTACAGGCCAGAGGTGCAAGGTTTGCAAAGTGGTGAGAAGATTCCCTGGAGACAGAGTGGTGAACAGAACAGGCAGATTGACTGAAATACACTGCTGAGGGGAGCAGTGGGCAGGTTAGGAGAGGTCTGCTGTGCCATGTGGGTCAACTCCCTGGCAAGGGATCGAACCCGTGCTGCAGTAGCTGTGATAGTTTCATACTGCTGTGCTTTTAACCCCTGTGCCATCAGGGAGGGTCCAATAATGCCATTCTTGATCTTGTGATCTTTGGCCACTCTCAGAGCAAATGTGATGCCATCATTGCGTGGCTGTAGTTTTTGGAACATTGGAATAGTCTTACAGGGATTGCCTGCCATTTCAAATCAAAGAGTGCTCTTTATTGGGCTGTAGAACACTTAGTTAAGAATCACAAACTTAGGAGTAAAGAGTAGATATTATTTTGTGAAAAAGTATATTTTTCTAATAAGCTAAACCTTGACTTCACCAGTATGTTCCCCTGCTTTAGAGAGCTAAGGAAAACACTGATATTTTAAATTGCCATTTAATCATCTTTTCATCACCAATCAAGTTATTGTTATTACAACAATCCTTACATTAGCTGTTATGCAGAGTCTCCTGAGCACAGATGCCTTCCTCTTCCATCCCCACCCTGTGTTAGAATGATTTGATGCAGTCAGTTCACTGCTTGATCACCAAATAACTGACCACTCAGACCCTTCTGCTAGGGTAGAAGTTGGCAGCCTTTTTCTATAATGGGCAAGAGAGTAAATAATTGGACTGTGCAGGCTAGAGAGTCTCTTGCAACTACTTAATCTACTTTTAGAGTCTGAAACAGCCACTGACAATACATAAATGAATGGGTATGGTTGTCTTCTAATAAAGCTTGCTTTTCAAAAGCATTGTGAGTCAGATGGGTCATTGGATGTAATTTAACAGCTAGGTAGGATCTGAGAACTAGAAACCTATATATTACTTAAACTACTTAAAATATTTGTTATGTAGATCCTGAAGACATTTAAGCCATGACCTGTCTTTCAAGTTAAAAAGCAAAAAGCAAATTTACAGATAATAATGTAGGCAATCTAAAAAAAAAAAAAAAAAAACTGGTGACAATACCATGAAGGTAGTTTCTGAATTGAATGTTTGAATTAAAATATATTTTTTCATAGGTACAGGCATTAGTAATCAGTGTGTCTATAACGAATCAGTTGATTTTTCAAGGGAAAGATAAATTTTTTAAAGATGTTATTGTGGAATTCTTTAATTGAAAGTAAATTTTAGGTTTAGGGATAGCTACAAATAAAAGAAAATGATATAATTTATTGACCAATATGTCTTTTGTCTCTTATGCTTCATATCAGTTGACAAAAACATAGTAACGTAAAACCTACTTCAACTATATAATACTTATATTATACCACTGTTAAAATTCCGTGACATCCTAGAAATTCATTTTTCTTGATTCCCCTGAGAAAGGGCTTAATACCAGTCCTTATCTATGCCTGATGTATTGGGGGGGCCATTTCCTTGACATTTATTTACTGTCTGTCTTAAATGCTTGGCCCTGTTCTGAACACTGGGATACAGAGCTAATGGATGCAGCCACAGCCTCAGGAGCTCATAGTCTATGTAAGGGGAAGTGAAGAGATGAATAAACTGGTAATTATTGCAGTTAATATAGAAATAATGCATGGTAAATAAGGAATATCTTCATTCTTAAAACTCTAAATATTTAAAAGCTAGATTGTATTTATTATTACTATTTTTCCCTTATATCATTGTTAATTTTTGGACAGTATTTGATTTCTCCCCTAGGTATATTCTCCCACCACCATAGGCTCTTGTGTTTTTCCCTCCTCTGTTTTCACCCTACTCTTCTCCCCTCCTCTGTGCCTTAGATGTATGGTCAATTTGCAAGAAAAACTAGATTTTTTTTTTAAAAGATTGATTTATTTATGCACACAAGAGCTGGGATATAGGCCAGAGGTTCGAGGGTGGGAGGACTCACCAGAGACAGAGTGGGGAGCAGAACAGGCAGAGCTACTGAAATACACTGCTGGAGGGAGCAGCACAGGAATCAGGAGAGGTCTGCTCTGCCATGTGGGTCAGTGCCTTGGTCAGCTGGGAATACAGTGCTGGAGATAGCTTGATAGCGCTGTCTTTAACTCCTGTACCACCAGGGAAGCCACCGAAAAACTAGATTCTAAACAAAAGATACTTCCTTTCAAAAAGTCCCAAGTAGGCACCCAGTAATGAAAGATTGTCCAGGCAAATGTGGTGCATGTGAATTGATTGTTGTCTTTTTAAGTGACTCATATTTTGTAGTAGGTCTCACCCTCCATGGCTGCTAGGAAAGTGTTTGATGGTATGTCATAAAACCATTGATTCAGGAATAATGAAGAAGGCCTGGCTTTTCACCTTGCCATAAAGCAATGACGAGTATTCACTCTAGGCTAGTATTGTCAGTATACTGTTGCCATGTTGGAGGCCTGTGTAACATCCAAGAGGTCTTTGGTCCAGTTTCTAGTGAGGGTACCAGTGACACGGCCCATTCCTTTGGCCAGGAGGCAGAAACAGTCCTGTGGAGGTTTAAAGTGAATCACACTAGCCTTCTAGCATTGAATGTATTTGAAGCAGAGAGAATTCTTAGGTATGACTTTTCATGCCCCTGATTTACTGGTGTTATGTGGAGTAGCAGCTGTCAGTACTTATGTGCTGTGGGGTAGGTGTGGCAGCCCTGCTGGGGATGGTGCTTGCTGTTGTTACTTTCTTTGCACCAGGCCTCATGCTCTGTTTTGTAGCTCTTCACTGTTGATAAGATAGCTGTTTCTTCTTTCTCCTGCTGTTTAGAGTATAGTTCAACAGTGACTTCTAAAACTTTGAGGTGTGTGTGTGCACTTCCAGAATGTGAAGAGGGTGAAGATGGAAGAGTAGGGTACCACTTACTACATGTTCATTAAGGAGATGTTAGGATGTGATTGGGGTAGCTAGACCGTTTAAGTAGAATCTTACAATTTATAGATTGTTTTTACATTCTTACTTAATGGTCACAACAATCTTGTTAGCTTTTATTTGATGCATTTGTAGGAAACTGAGACTTAGAGATAAAATTCACTTTCTGAGGGTCTTTAGGCCAGTGGTACAAGTTGTAGTTGGAGACCTAGTGCTTGCATTCCAGACGCTGGATTTTTTTACTTGGTTTACTTTTCTCCATTCTGTTGTTACATCAAGAGTTATCAAATCCATTGGCCTACTATTTTACTCTTAAAAATGTTTAGACACAGACTTTTTGGTTACCTCCCAAATGGACTTTCATCTGCGGAAATGTATGGGACAAGATTAATTTCGTAAATAATACAAAGTATAGCTCATTTATTTTCCTCTTAAATTAGACTTGCAACTTTGACATGCCTTGTTGATGTTACATCTAATAAATTACAGACATTTTCTTTGCCAGTGCACTGCAGACTTAGCTTGTCTTCCAGACATTTTAAATAAGAGATTGAATTAGTACAGTATAGCTTGTTTCTTGTTTTCCAGGTTAACATTAGCAGAATACCATGAACAAGAAGAAATCTTCAAACTCAGATTAGGTCATCTTAAAAAGGTAAGTATATTGGGAAAAAAAAAAAACTGTTCTGGAAAAACACAATATTTAATTTACATTTGGTGTTGAAGCTGTTTGTTCATTTGGGCGAATGTTATTGTTTCTCACACCTGCAAAAATTTTGGGTACTGTCACTTCAAGTCTTACTGTAGTGGTGGATTTTGTGTTTATTTTGAAATCAGCGTAGCCACTGTGTCAGCCACAGAGCTTTTTGCACCAGTGGTGTACCAGTAGATTTTTTTTTTTTTTTACAACAGTTTATTTTTACAACATTTTGTACATTTTTTTCCATCTCAATTGTAATCCCCGCGGGTTTCCCATCACCAAGTCACCCGTGTGCCATCACCATAATCCCGTGCACTCCCCTCCCCACCCCCCGGTTTTTGATCTCATTCCCCACTCTACCCCCACAAAATGTCTCTGGTATATGGTTGTTCATTATTTTTGTTATTTTCTCGCCTGGTCCATTATACTCCTGCTATGAGTGAAACCATCGAGTATTTTTCTTTCTCTTTCTGGCTTATCTCACTAAGCATGATCTTTTCCAGCTCCATCCAAGTTGCTGCAAAAGACATGTGTTTCTTTTTTTTTTTTTTTTGGTTGCTGAGTAATATTCCATTGTGTATATGTACCACATCTTTTTTATCCAGTCATCTACCAGTAGATGTTTTTATGCCCTTCATAAGGGTTTACTTTATGATAAAAATTAAGTATAAGAATAGATGATTCTAAAATTTATACTAAAACTCATGATTTTTAGAATCATGTAGCAGCTTTTAACTCTTTCCTACACTAGCTAAGAAGAGAAGGTCTTACACTGACCATGTTGTGGTACCTGCACCTGCGTTTGTTGCTGATGTTCTGTGAAGCTTCTTAGATGTAGATTGCTGATCTCTTAAATTCAGGGTTCCCTTTGTTTTGAGTGGATGCTATTACTGGTGATGAAAATAAGTTCCTATTGGTGTTTGTTTTCTCAAATCTTGTCAAATCTTTGGAATTTAAGACACTAAGTATAATCTGTACTTAGAGAACATAACCAGATAGAGAATCTGATCTTTGTAAAGCAATGATTGCATGCCTGTATGTATATACATAACATATTTCTTGAAAACTATAGAAGAAGCTTAACAGCTGTTACCTCTGGGGAGTGGGCATGGAGTGCAGTGAATCAGGAGACATGACTATTATTTTTCTATAGGCTTGTTTTTTACAATTAAAATTCTAATTCTTAAGAAAAGATTTTTTTATTACCAAATATATTCCTTTAACTTTTCATAGTATACACTGTTACTTTTGAAATGAGATTGTATGCTTTAAGCTATTTCTTTCCTTTTCACTTTAGGAGGAAGCAGAGATCCAGGCAGAACTGGAAAGGCTAGAAAGGGTTAGAAATCTACATATCAGGGAACTAAAAAGGATACATAATGAAGATAATTCACAGTAAGCAAATTGGGGGTATACATGGTTGCAGATTTCTGAGCACTTTCTGACATGATCGAGAATGATGTTTTTACTTAATGGTAAATGGTTTTAGTGTGTATAGCTCTATTGTAGGATATAATAAAGTTTTATGAACAAAGTTGTAATTTGCTTTAGTTTAAAAAATGTTTGTGTGTGTGTTAGTCTAAGATAGCATTTCACATGAACAGAGGTCACTATAGTCATAGTTGGGATACACTGTTTAGGTTTTCCTAGAGTGCAGCTAGATGGTGCAGGAAGAGTATTGGACTGAAATGTCACCCACTTTCAGAGTGACCTTTCAAGGCCATTTGACTATTGAGGTTTAAACAAGACCCTTTTAAGCTTACCTGTTTGTAGATAAATGTTTACTTTTATTTATAAGTCATTTAAGGGGTTTAAACTGGGAGAATTTGATTGTAGGAAATGGTTACTATCTGTAACTTGTTCTTTCCCACATTTCTGTGACTCTGAAATTTTTATTTTCTAGAACTACGGCCTTGTTTGTTCATTGTGAACCACAGAATTTTCTTTCTGTAGTGTCAGGCAGCAGTAGTTAGGATTCCTAAGAACTCTTTCTATGTCAGTCATAGTACTCTGTACTTTTCTTTCATTTATGTTTCACGATGACCCAATGAGACAGGTTATCATTAATATTCAGATTGAGAAACAGGCTTAGAGAAATTAACATGGTCAGAGACACATAGCCATTGTGACCAAATGGTTCAACTTGGATTTGACTCCAGGACTAACATCCCCCAGGCATGCTGTCGTGTCAAAGTCAAAATAAAGTAGTTCAGGATTAATAATTGAGGTGCTTAAGATCATGAGTTAGGTAGAAATATTTTTAAGGTTGCTTTTGCTGGAATCTCATTTCCGTGTAAGAAGACGATATAAAGTAGGATTCCATATGTGGAAAACAGCTTTATCATGAATACTTTCTGTCTTAAAGAGAGAAAACAAATGCACATAGAACATGTGACTCACTTTTCAATCAAATTTGTTTTCAAAAACACATAAAATATCTTAGAATTTTTATTCTGTGTAGTTTTGGAATGATGGAAGCACATGCCTACGAAATGTTCGGAGGAACCAAATTACACAGTTTAAAGTCCCTGATCTACCTTCTCACTATAGCAGAACAGAAAGGGGGGAGGTCAAGAAAGGTCACAGATCTAATTGTGACTCTGCTGACACTAGCCCTACTGATAGTAACATAACGCCCTACTGATAGTGCTGTTTGCTATGATTTTTGTTGTTGTTAAGATTTTATTTATGTATTAAGAACTGGGATACAGGTTGGGAGGTATAAGAGGATTCACCAGAGACAGAGTGGGAAAAGAACAGCAGGACAGTGACTGAAGTACACTGCTGCGGGGAGCAGTGGGCAGGGCGGGGAGGTCTGCTGCGCCATGTGGGTCACTCCCTGGCCGAGGACCGAACTTGTGGCTGCAGACACCCTCACAGTGTTGTGCTTTAACTCCTTGCCCCACAGAGGGACCTGATTGTTATGATTTTGCTGTCTCTGAACTGTATAACTTTATGGTTATAATTTGCTATTTTGGTATTGAATGCCAAAGCAGTCAGCCCCTACTATACTGCTATGTATAACATATTAGATGGTAATTTTGGAAATATGAAAGGTTATGTAGTCCTTGACCTCAGAATGTGACATGTTTTTGCTTCTACAGATTTAAAGATCATCCAACGCTAAATGACAGATATCTGTTGTTACACCTTTTGGGTAGAGGAGGTTTCAGTGAAGTTTACAAGGTAAGTATGAGGCACCTGGTTTGAAGATTGCAGGTTAGATATTTGTTATTACCAAGTTGGAAAATATTTAGAATAGTGATGACTGTGGATTGATGTCTATTAAAATATGAGTTGAAATATGAAAATTTTAAGAATTTTAATGTTCTTACACTTCTACCAATAAGCTTAAGGGACTAAGCAGGCTACAATAATTTACCCTGTTTTCAAATTTGAAAAATAAATAGGCTTAAAAAAAAAAAGTAGAAGTAGTAATGTTATTCTTGTAGTTGAATTTCATTGAATTTTATTCAGGTTTTGTGCTTTTTGTCTTTTTTTTATCCACACTGCCTAGATATATATTAACTTTTTCTCATAAAGTTCCCCCCCCAAAACTAAATAGATTCATTCAAGTTGTTCATTGAAAACTTGCTTTTTGCTTTAAAACGTTTTCATCAGCTAAGTCAGTGTTCAGTGACCTGGCATTCTACAGGCACTGGGCTTCTACCCGATCAGCAGAGTACGTATACTGTGTTCTGTCAGTGGAATTTTACTAAATGAGAAATTTAGCCAGTTTTACATAGCTACGGAGCCATAACATGTTCACCAGCCGTGGTTTCCTTAAATTTTTCTAGGTGTTTCTGATGCCTGGCTTTTAAATGTAGAATTGACTTTTTAAGTAGTCTTCACAGCATTCCGTCATTCCTAAGCGCAGCTTTTACTTAGATTCAGGTTATGTTTATTTGACTTCATGTTTGGGAAATCCCTGAGTGAAATAATTAGCTTTCTTTTCAGATAAAAACAGTAGAAACTAGTTCTGCCGTTTCAATTTCTTGTTGATTTTTTGTTGTGACAATAAATACATAAAATCTATGATTTTAGCCATTTTCTAGGTGTCCAAGTCAGTGGTATTGAGCACACGTACAGTGGTGTACTGCACTCATCACTCTCCATTTTCAGAACTGTTAACATTATTCTTAATATACCTCTGGCTTCATTTTCTTGATATTTCTTAATAAGATTGGCCCATAGTAGTCTTGTTTGTGTGCAGGTGGCATTGTCTAGCTTTGATGCCATAATTATCCTTGGACAAGTTTTCTTTTCCTGTGTCCTGGAGTGTTTTGTCTTAGACAGATTGTTGATTCCTTGATAGCTTCTTAAAGCTGTCTCATAAAACCTCTTGAGTAGGTATTATCTTAGAGGAAGACATTTGATCAGCATTTCAATTCCTTACACAAATAGTAATCTGTCTGTTATTTCTCTTTCCCTTTTTAAGTCAGTTTTAGTAATTCTAAATATTCTGCAAAATCTATTTCATTTTGATTTAAAATTATTGTCCATCATTTATAGACCATGGGTTAAACATTTTTTTCTCTGTGAATCAGCTCTTTATTTTGTTGATCAAATTTACTGTTTGATTTTTCTGTTTTACTTCTACTTGTTTTTCTGCCTTTTTTCTGTTTTCATTCTTGAATCAGATGTTTTATTTTTTTATTTTTTGCATATGTTTGCTTCAATGATTTTATAGTTTTTTGTCTTATATGCATGTCTTTAATCCTGTTTGAGTTAATTTTGTATAAAGTGAGAGGTGGTGGTATAGTTTTTTTGCATGGCTGTCCAGTTTTTATGACACCATTTGTTGAAGAGATATTCCTTTTTCCAGTGTATACTCATGGATCCTTTGTCCTAGGTTTGCTGTCCATATATATGTAGGTTTGTGTTTGGGCTCTCATTTCTATTCCACTGGTCTGTGTATCTCTTTTTATTGCAGTACCATACTGTTTTGACTACTGTAGCTTTGTAGTAAAGGTTGAAATCTGAGTGTGTAATATTGCACTCTTGTTTTCCCCCTCAGGATTGTTTGGCTATTTGGGGTCTTTTGTGGTTCCATGAGTTTTAGTGATATTGTTTCATTGAAGCCTTATAGAGCTTCATAGGATTTTTAACAATGTTAACTATTACAATCCATGAGTAGAGTGTATCTTTCTATTTTTTTTTTTTTTTTGTGTGTGTGTTTTCTTTTAGCAGTGTCCTACAGTTTTTATTGTACAGGTCCTTTGTTAAGTTTAATCTTCAGAATATACTTTTTATTGCAATTGTGATTTCTTTCTCCTCTTTTTTGCAACTATTTTTTGTAAATTTATTTTGTACCCTGCTACTTTACTGTATTGACTTATTTCAATTAATGGAAACTTCTTTTTTTAGTGGAGTTTCCAGGGTTTTTGTATATATATTATCATATTGTCTGCAAATAGTGCTAGTTTTATTTTTTCTTTCCCAATTTGGATTCCTTTTATGTCATTCTCTTGCGTAAATTAAGAGGTGTTTAATTTGGTTTTTAATGGCTTGAAATGGTTTTCTAGTGTAAAGCTATGACCATGCTTGCAAGTGGGCTTCAGACTGAAAGATATATGCATTTATTTCTATGAAATAAGATAGACCGAGTTACATGGTCTATTTTAAAGGCATACTGGTTTAAATTTAAGATAATTTGCATATATGATCATATAAGATATGTAATCATTTATCAGCAGCCTCTCTTGTATGCAGTACTTTTCTAGAAGTAGCTTACATTTTAAAAGATCTTTGGACTAGTCATCACTGTATATGGGCTGTGTATCCTGTGCCTTTACCTTCATCTGCTCATACATTTGTGGAAAATGGAGATGGGTGTCAGAACTGAAGTAGTAAGTTTTTAATCTGAACTTACAAAAATTGGAAAAACTGTTCATTCTAAAGGAATTCCTCTATAAATTCTTAGGTATGGAGGAAATCTGTTATGTTGAAATGCTACTTAACAAATTTTGACTTATACCTAACTTCTTTTTTATACCCAGATAATAGCACCAGCTAGCTGATCCTGGACTTTGATATGATGGCTTTTGAGGGAAAGCATGTCCCTTTCTTTGGACAGTGTTGTAGAGACCAGAAATTACTCTTTATATACCAAAAGGCAGGACTGGTTTTAGTTTTTGTTATTTTAATAAGTGCAGTAAAACAAGTTACAAAGCTGTTTTCTTAACAGATAACAAAGAGGTATATCCTTATTTCTCAAAGAGGCAGGAAGTCTAGGTTCTTGGCACTTCAGCAGTGGTAGGATTTCATGCTGGAGTGTCAGCTAAAAGGAGAAGGGTCCCAAAGGAAGAGTAGAGGATGTCCAGAAAGAGAATGTCTAATATGACTGTTATGGCAGAGTTTGTCTTTCTGTTTGTGGTGTATGCTTGTTGTTTTTTACTTAGCAGCTCTGATACAAGTATGGGTAGTGTTGTCCAGTGTTGTTTTTATTTAATAGTGTATTTGAGTGTGTTAAACTGTTAAATAGAAGCTTCAGATTAGTTGATTGCAATTCTATTAACACTTAATCACAATGTAATTTGTCCTTTTCTTTGTAGGCATTTGATCTAACAGAACAAAGATATGTAGCTGTGAAAATTCACCAGTTAAATAAAAACTGGAGAGATGAAAAAAAGGAGAATTACCACAAGTAAGTGATAACAGAGTAGCTGATTTTTTAAAAAATTAGTAAAAATAACTTTAGCTTGGGCATGGTGCTAAGACCTTCACATGTATAGTTGTTTTATTTACTCCTTATATCTGTCTTAGAAGAGCAGTTAGTCTCTTACTGATAAGGAAACACGCTTAACAGAATTTGAGTAACAGTTAAAAAATGGTTGAGCTGATATTTAAATTAAGCCTTTTAAAAATCCTCAATCCATGCTCTTAACCTCAAATTAAACTCTAGTAGTATCGATATAGTGTCTGAAATTAGCTATAGTAGACAAGTCTAGCCTCAGAAAAGGGACTCTGTGAGGGGCATCATGTGGGGCCTTTCTGGTGTTTCAGACATTTCATTAGGAAGGGGTGGCGGCAGGCAGGTATCTGGTGTGCCCCAGTAGTTCCTGTTTGACGTGTGCAGCCCCTTAACACTGGGCTTGCCTCTTCTACCACGGCTCTCTCGTCCCACTGGCTGTGTGCAGGTCCCGCTGACAGTGCTTCCCTCTCAGCAGGAGCTGCTAGCGGCGGCCCTCATCTGTGCTTGGGGTGGGGGTAGGGGGTTGATTTCCTTAAAATCAATAGTTAGCACATGTGTGGTGTGAATTTCTTTGAACTACTAATGTCAGGCCCCTATCTTCCCTACCTACTCACCCGCTTCAGAACAATTACTTTGGCGGCCATGTAGACTGGATTTGCTATTAGGATCCCTACTGGGCTGAACATTATTTTTTTGTTGTAGGTATAAATAGTGAAATTAGACGTGCCCTTCTGGAAGGAAGAGACAGCCCTTTTTGATTTAATAATTAGCTTCCTTTCTATAAAACAGGTTTTTTGTTTTGTTTTAAAGATTTATTTATGCTTACAGAACTGGGGTACAGGCCAGAGATGTGGTGGGTGAGAGGATTCACCAGAGACAGCGTGGGGAGCAGAACAGGCAGGTTGATGAAGTACACTGCTGAGGGGAGCAGTGGGTGGGCCAGGAGAGGTCTGCTGCACCATGTGGGTCATTCCATGGCCAGGGATTGAACTTATGCTGCAGTGGCTTTGGAGAACTTCATAATGCAATGCTTTATTTAACCCGTTGCTCCACCAGGGAGGACCTTTTTTTTTAATAGTACTTTGGATACAAAATTTTAAAATTGAAGAAAAAAGTTAAAAATATAGTACTTTGGAGGCAACAAAGAGACTCTGAAGTAGTCTTTTAGTTGACTTTTAAATTTCAAGGGGAAAATAAAACATTTCTAGATCATCAGCCAGTTGTTGGAGCATAAAACCAAACAATTCTGGTTTTATATCTGGTGTTCATCTGAGACCCAGGCCTCTTTTTCTTTCATACGCATTGACAGTAGTACTTAGCTCTAGAGAAGAAAAATTTCCCTGAAGAAATAGGAAAAATAAGACTGGCTGAGCAGAGGTATGAATAGAGTGACACATGTGTGGCACCCCACATATGTGTCTTACATGACAGCCAGCTGCAGTCCAGATGCTTCTGAGGAACAGTTACATTAGCATAAGAACATTCCAGCCAATCAGGGTGCAGGGATGGGTGGCATGCTACAGTAAATGCCAGGAGCACTTTAGAGAAGGAAGCTACATGCGGTTCCGGCCAGTTACAAATGAAAAATGGCCCCCATGTATTGAGATCTGAGTGCCTAAGAGTGTCTGGAAAGCACATGACTCCGTAAGAGTGCCCCAGCTATCCTGGGGCCCTTCTGTGCATTTGCCACTGGAGACCAGTTGACTTTACAGGGGCTTACCTTGGTCAACCATGAGGAAACCTTTTTTGTGGTACATACTTTGTACGTACTTTGCTTAGTCTTCCTATCCAGCTTTCAAGTTGACTTTAAGTAGAACTCGAGTTGAATCTGGTCAAAGCGCAGGTGGGAGTTGAGCTCACCCTTTGCCTTTGCAGCTGTGGGCTACTGCAGCCGGGACCACGTGCCGCCTTCACATCTTTGGCAGCCAGTGTGAGTCCTGGTGGGTCTGGGTTGCATAGCTTTCCCACATTTCTGTACGGACAATACAAGTGAAGGGAATGGGCTCATTTTTCTGAGCCCACAATGAATCCAGCATATACTCCCTGTTGCACTTTCTTACTCTGTTTCCTCACTAGAGTTGGGAATCGTGGTGCCTGAGCACCATCTGTGGTGCAGTCGGGGTCATTTCCCAGTTGACACACTGGGTAGGGGAGGTACTAAGTTCTTGTGACCTCCAGTCATTCTTGGGGGGAAATTGTTCAACACCTCCACCTTTTGTGGGAAGATTTTGCTGGCTACATGATACACCCTCATGCTGGTGAAGTTCAGGCTGTAACTGGGGGTGACTTCTCAGTCCAATCTGGAATCAAGACACTTACTGTGGTAAAGTGTAGAAAAAATTCAAGCAAAATAAAAGGTTGTTTTTTTTTTTCATTTTGAGATCTGTACCTCCTTTTCTTTCCTACCCCCATACCCATCCCACACATACCTGATTATTTTACTTTTGCATTGTTAAAATATTAGTGGGCAGGAGCTTCTCTTGTGGTAACTATGAAATTGATGTATATAAATTATCATTCTAGGAAAACTAGGATTTCCATAATTTCAGATTTCTGTGGGAGAAAGTAAAGCCACTAGTCCTCTTAGTCCTTTTTGTAAGGGATATTTTACTTTTGCATTGTTAAAATATTAGTGGGCAGGAGCTTCTCTTGTGGTAACTATGAAATTGATGTATATAAATTATCATTCTAGGAAAACTAGGATTTCCATAATTTCAGATTTCTGTGGGAAATCTGAAGGACTAGTCCTCTTAGTCCTTTTTGTAAGGGATAGAATTTAAAGCATTGTTAATTATACTATATAACCTGTGATCCTTTTACCCAAGGGGTTTAACATGCTAAAATTGATTCCCTTAGTGTAAACCTGGTGTATAAGCATTTATAAACATGAGAGGGGGGAAGAGCTTTCTAATATTTAATTCTAATATTTGGTGATAAAGATAAAAGGTGAAATTGTTACAGAGTTTGAAGGCAGTTAATAGCCATCATTCAACAAATATTTGAGTACTTTCTGTAGATACTTGTAGGATGACGATGTAGAAACATTAGGGGGCCCGAGAGATGTGATTGGAGTGAGTAGGTATGAACAATGCAGAGATGAGTATCTTTGAAGAATACTTTTGAGAGTATCCTTAAAGAATTCTCAAAGGCCAAAACTACAAAATGTTTTAATTGTCTATTTTGTTTGCAGGCATGCATGTAGGGAATACCGGATTCACAAAGAACTGGATCATCCCAGAATAGTTAAGCTGTATGATTACTTTTCACTGGACACTGACTCGTAAGTCCTGTGCCATTTTAGTTTAGCATAGCAGTTAATGTTTTTACTTCTTTTGTTTTTTTTGCTGCATGTTGACTACTCATGAATAGAGTTTAAATCTGGATCTAGGAAATAGTGTATGAATAAACCAAATATATTTGTGGGCAAATGATCATATGTGAATTCAGATTCAAGCCACCAAAATATCTCTTGACCACTGGATGTGTGCAGCTGGGTGTTGGTTAAAGTTTAATGAACAGCTTGGTAAGGCTAATTTATAGGTATTTACCAATTTCTGTGGTATAAATACTTCCAGCTTCCAAATTCAAGCTACCAACTTAAAAAAGGGAAAACAACTTTATCAAGCTATAATTTAGGCATAGTTCTCTCATCTAAAGTATACAAGTCGGTTTTGTTTTTTTTTTTTTTTGTATTCAAGGCCCATCGCAAGTCAATTTCAGAACATTTTCAACCCTCAAAAAGAAACCTAGTACTGCTTGCTGTATCCCTATTCTCCTCCTTTCAGACCTCTAACTCTTAGCAAACACTAATCTACCTTTTCTGCCTATGGATTTCCTACTCTGAACGAAATCTTTATGACTGGCTTCTTTCACTTCTTGTGATTTTTTTTTTTTTTTCAAAGCTCATCAGTACTTTATTCTTCAGCCTCTATGTGGTCAAGTCTCTGAATTAAAACCTCTTTGTTTTATATATACTAAGTGATTTTTATTTCTTAAATGTTAAGATCACATTGTCACAACTCAGATGAGCTCTTTTGTCAGGATACTCAGGCAGTGTAGGAAGTCTTCAGTTTTTAATCGCCTTGGAAGACACCCATGACCCTCAGTGCCACAAATGATATACCACTTTAAATTTGGGTTTCTGTGATGTATTGGTATCCATCCATTCCATGTAATAAACACACCTGTTAGAACCACAGATACCATACTAGGAAGACTCTTATTATACCTATATTTATCAGCAGAGAGAAAGTATAGCACTTTTTTTGTGTCAAACCTCCAGGGGCAAAGAAGGCTGGAGCTCAAGACCCTGGCAAACCCGAGATTCTTCTTCACTGTCAGCCCTGAGAGCTGTATGAAATGTTTGCAGTGAGAATTGTGCACTTGATCACAATATGCTTGTTTAGAAATAGAACGTGATGTGGTTCTGTAAGGAGATGCTTTCAGAAAGTTACCTAGCTTAAGTACATTACAGTTCTTGTTAGTGTCCTCATGGTCTACATTCAGGAAGAGGGGTGCCACAGATGAACTTTGGCACAACAGACTCCACTGTGGAGGCTCTCTGCTAAGAGTGGGCCACACAGGCAGCCAATACTGAATAAAGAGTAGAACAGTATTTCAAGGAACAAAGACAAAAGGAGTGAGAAGATGATTACCTCAGGTTTTCATTGGGTTAGGTAGACATAATCATCTGCTCTTGTTCCTTGATCAAATGTTGGTATATTTGTCTTTAGGTTTTGTACAGTATTAGAATACTGCGAGGGAAATGATCTGGACTTCTACCTGAAACAGCACAAATTAATGTCGGAGAAAGAGGCCCGATCCATTATCATGCAGATTGTGAATGCTTTAAAGTACTTAAATGAAATAAAACCTCCCATCATACACTATGACCTCAAACCAGGTATGTCTAACTTTTAGAAAACTATATTGGTGCCTTTTCTTTGGCTTTTAAGTCCTTTAAAACTTTATAAAGTTGGGGAAGTTGGCAGAAGCCAAGAAGGCACAGTTAACACCTGATTTTGACTTGCCTGGGTAGGTGTGGAAATGAGAGTCCTGGCCATGCAGTGCTGGGTTTGGGGGGTGGGTTGTCTGTCATGATGTCAGTCTGATTAAGAAAGAACTGGTCTGGCATGCTCCATTTGCTCTTTCCCATTATTCACACTGGGTAAGCAGGGCCTTTGCCCTTGCCAGGTCTGACAAGTGCTCAGAAATTAATGACTTATTTTGCACACATGCCTGTCATTGAAGCCTGAGCAGTTTTCTGGTTTTGTTGCTAGCCTTCACAATGTCAGCAGGAGTAGAGGCCAGTTAGCTTTCTTACCTCTCTCTCTCTGGTATTCCCCGCTGCTTTTTAGAAGTCTGCAGTTGTTCTGGTTGGCATTTCTAACTGGCTTAGCTTAGTGGTTAGAAGGCTGATTTCCATTTACCTTCCGATACAGTTAACTTGCTTTTACTCTCCTGGTAGCTCCATATGGAACTCACCATTTGCTGTTCATTATTGTCCTAATTCAATTTAAATGACCACACCCCAAAAAATCATTACAATGATGTGATTTTGTAAAAGATGGCAGTTGTGTTATTGGGGCTTGCGTGGTGACTCCAGCAAGTGTCCTGCCATTGGGGCTGTAGGTGGCACTGTGGCACTATCTTTGATCTGGTGCCCCCCCCCCAACCCGATTACTGTTCTAAACAGGGTGGTTAGATCCTTCTGAAAGTTCACATGAGACTTTTCCACCATTTTTGACCAACTGCACAAGTGATATTTTGCTTTGGTGGGTTATTTTTTTCCTGCTGCTCATAGTAGTGGTTTTGGCACACGGAGCATGTGATTCTTGGAAAACATAAGTTTGCAGCCAGACAACACTGAGGACTCTCCAGCATTTGGAGTCTGGTTAGTTTTGTTCCAGGAATTTATGTTACTTTAGTTTATAAACCTGTTTTTTTGGTACAACTTAATAATCATTTATATTACGACTTTTAAGAATTTTAAAATGTATAATTTGTTATAAATAGGACGGTTTAGACTTAGTTGTATGGGTAGTGTGCTTTTCAGTGCCGAAGTGGCTACTGTTAAATGCTACACAGTCACTTTGGTTTTCTTATTGGTCAGCTAAGGTGCATCACTGACTTGATGGAGAGGAGTAAAGGAGGAGGAGGTATCACCTTTGGTGTTTTGTGCCTCTGAAAGTGTAGATAGCTATATCTTTTTTTTACATAAGAAAACTAAAAATTAATTGGCCATAGACTTTCTAATTCATGGATTTCCCCTCTAACTTTCAGTACACATGTTCTTCTTCTGGCATTTAATACTCTAGAAGATACAAATTTAATTTTGTTCCTTTCAGATGACTACTTTTGTATTCAAAATCCTTTCCTCATCTTGCTCCTATTAAAATTATTACCAGCTTTTTCTTTAATTAAGACTTTATATTTTAAGACATTTTAAGGTCCATTCCAGCAAAATGAATGGGAAGACAGGTTTCTCATGCACCTTGTGTTCTACCAGCCTCTTCCATTATTAACATCCCCACCACAGCCATACATTTATTACAGTTGGTCAGCCTACATCTCTGGTTACATTACTGTCCACTCGTGGTGGTGTGCATTCTGTGAATTTGGGCTGTGTTTGAGGACATGTGTCCAGCGTGGTAATAGCACACAGCCTATGCTCGCTCTCCTGTGTCCTCTGTGCTGCTCCTGTTTATCTCTCCCCTTCCAGGGATTTAGATGGTTGCTGTTTTCATAAGAGTTTGATTTTAGTTTCCCCCTTCTTGTCTGTTACTACCTTGAACTTTTTTCTTGATTAGTGAATACTTTTTTTCATGAAGATTTTTATCTTTTTAGGTAATATTCTTTTAGTAAATGGTACAGCATGTGGAGAGATAAAAATCACAGATTTTGGTCTTTCCAAGATCATGGATGATGATAGCTACAATTCAGTGGATGGCATGGAGCTAACATCACAAGGTGCTGGTACTTACTGGTAGGTATCTGGGAGCCCTGCCAGGCTGGCTGGTGGAGAGGTGGCAGTGCCATGCTGGGGCATGGTGCTTAATGATGAATACAGGTGTCCTGTCTGCTTAGCTACAAATGCTGGGAACCAAAACTACTTTCCTCCCTGAGTAGCTACTGTCCTCACAGCAGCTTGACTATGTGTTTATGTTACTTTGTCTTTCTTTTACTTATTCTTTCTTGAAAACCACTGCGAGAGATTGTATGGAGCAGGTATTTGAGCTTTGTGTTTCCTCCATAGACTGGCACTACTGAGCAGTAGAGAATGAGTTGTTCATGTGGATATGAAGAATGGCTTTGTGAAAAGTCAGATGGACATGAGGCATTATGCTAAGTGAAATAAGTCAGACAGAGAAAGACAGTACTGTACAATCTTACTTTTTTGGTGAAATAAAAAAACCAACTGTGCCCCGACACACACCAAACTTACAGATATAGTGAACAGATTGGTCGTTGCCAGAGACAGGGGCTGCTGTTAGGGAAGGGGTCAAAGGTAAAAATTTCCAGTTTCAAAATATGTAAGTACTGGAACATAGTACAGAGTGGGGAGAGCAGATTGCGTATCCACGTATGTAGCCACATGTTCGTGGGATACATAGGGTTATTGCGATGTTGTGTGTCAACTAAATCTCAATTTAAGACTTTCTTATCAAATAACTAATAAATAGAGCAGTGCTAGCATAGGAAAAGATAGACTCATGGAACAAGAGAAACCCCAGAAACACCTAGAACTCTGTACATGTTTCATACAGAAAGTGGCATTGTAAATCATGAGAAAGAGGAGACTGCTCTTATTCCATTTACAACTGCTTTATCTGTAAGAAACCAGATGTTTCTAGATATTACTCAGTCAAAACAAGTACAGTAAACTAGTCTGAGGCTGGTATGAGACTATAGTTATCGTTCCGAACAAAGGTTTAAAGTGTTTTCTAATTCTATAAGCGTCTGTAAGTACAACATATATTTATACTGTTGTAATTGTAATCCTGGTTGAATTTCTTTTACATACATATGTTTCTTATTAGATTTTAGTTGAATAAAATGCCATCTGCCAATTTGAACCTCTCACCTAGCAGACAGGCAAACCCAGTCCAGAAAGGGACTTGCACAAGAAGAGGTCGTCAAATATGTTGGAGTAAAAAATTTTAAAACTTTTCAGGACATTATTACTCCTTAAAGCCCTTCTCTTTCCTTATCTTGATAGTAACCCCAAGATCTGGGGTTGGGGCAGGAAGAACAACAGCCCTAACTTCTTTTCAGTACAAATGGCAGGTCTCTCTCTGTGGGTTAATGGAATGAGGGATTTTGTTTCCAGAGCTGCCTGAGGATGATGGTCCCTCAAGAACTGAGCACTTGTGACATCAGGACGTAAAATAACCACAGCATTCCCTTGAACTCTAAACAGGAAAAAGTGAGCACAGTTTGTCAAGAAATTTATCCATCTTTGTCAGCCACGTGCTAAAAGGTGTTGAGTCACACATTTCCTTCCAGCTGTGGTCACCCATAGACCCCCAGCCGCTTCTTCCTCAGCTAGGTCTCAACCTGCCCAGCCTATGACCTATCCTATCCTACTTCTCTGCCTGTTACTGCTGTCATAAAAATACTTTAGTTCAGGCATTTTATTTAATTTTGTGATTGTAAAGATGTGTTCCAGAACTTTCCTTTTACTTCTGAGGTGGTAATGCAAAGCGTCTTATTGGATTGTTGGTTCTGGACAGTCTCTGGTAGCACTGAGGGGAGGGTTGCATGCGCTGTTTCATCCCAGGGTCACTCGGCCAGATCACTTAACTTTGGTTCTGAAGGACTGTGGGCCTCAGCAGTAGAGTCACTGCCTGGGAATGAGAGTGTTGGCTCAAAGCAGACAGAGAAGAGACCATGGTCAGGCACAGCCCAGCCCTGTTTTCATCAGTTAGATCCTGATGAGAAAGAATCATATGTTGCTGAGAATTCTATGTATACAAAATTTCTGTTTTCCCTTCTTTACTGTTTGTGAAGGTGGTACCTATAGTGAAATCAGTCTCTAAATTAAAACTATGAGATTTTAGGTTTAAAATAGAAGCTACATTTACAGTGTTTATTCACTATGGTGGTTATTGTGGGTTGGTGTTCTTGTCACTGAATGATACAAAAATATCTTAAGTAAGTCTATATGCATCTACTATATAAACTCATTAGAGCTTAGATTTGAACTTTTTGCTTATTACTGTTTTAAAAAGGTAAAGCTTTTTCCCATTTAAGTTAGTTATCTCATTGCTACCTATTGCTATTTTTGCTAAGCTGTAGAGGGCCAGTAGTTGGAATTTAAATAAAATTTATACAATGTTTAGTGTTTGCTACAAAGTAATCTGCTCAGTAGTGGGGAGAGGAGGGATGGATGAAAACAAGATTGGTCATGTGTTGATGATTACTGAGGTAGGATGATAGTTGATTGAGGGCTCATTTTACTGTTCTTTTTACTTGAGGTTATTTAAAGAGTTTTTGCAGTAAAAAGTAAGGCAGAGAAATAACTACCAAGAAAATTAAGTTCCATGGGTTTCTATGAAGATTTAAACAGTTTCTATATTGGTAGATACATTGTCATAATCACCATCTTTAATATCTTCTTCCCATGTCCCAAGAGGTGCAAATAGCATGGGAGGACATAAATGTTAATCTGCTGTTTGCAGTATTTGATTAGAATTCTTCTACTTTGAGTACTTCTTTTAAATAAGTGATCATTGACTTGAGCTTTGAGAGTCATTTTTCTGTGTGAGAATTTTGTTGTGATAGAATATATATATATATTTTTAGTTTTATTTTTATAATTATATACTTTGCATCAGTGTTCTTTTTTGTACAGTGTTTGCTTTCTCTCCTCGAGTATAGGCCCCATAGAATTCCCACAACCAGCTCACTCCTGCTCATTGCCCCTTACCCTGTGCTCTTCCTGCCCTTTTTGGGGCCTCTCTCTTCTTCTCCATGCAGAATGTCTCTGATTTATAGTTGCCTGTTTATTTTTGTTTTGTTTGTGTTATTATTTTCCCCCTGATCCATTACTTGGTTCCCCTCTATTTCTCCTATAAGTGAAACCATTGATACTTTTCTTTTTACTTCTGACTTATTTCACGGAGCATAATCCCTTTCAGCTCCATATTGCTGTGAATGGCAGGAGTTTATATCTTTCGGAATTTTTTTTTTTTTTAAGATTTACTTATTTATGCATACAGAGGTGCGGGGGTTGGGGGTGAGAGGCTTTACCTGAGACAGAGTGAGGTGCAGAACAGGCAGATCGATGAAGTACACTGCTGAGGGGAGCAGCGGGGCCGGTCAGGAGAGGTCTGCTGCACCATGTGGGTCACCTCTGGGGCGGGGATGGAACTCATGCTGAAGTGGCTTTAGCTTCTCAGTGCTGCACTAATCAACCTGCTGTGCCACCAGGGAGAGCCGGAATATGTATTTTTTACTGTAGTATTATAGAGTGTATGGTCTTCTGCTCGTCCTCCTGAAAGCCTTGATAGGTAACTAGAATGCTTGTTATTTTCAATATTATCTGGGTGAAGAACTTTTTATTTCTTCACTTTACAGTCAGGAATACTGAGACCTGGGTATACTGGATGTCAGGCTTATCCTATCCACGAGGCATTGCCTTTGTGTTCTGAATATTTGCCTAAATCATTACTCTTCATTTGGACAAGTTCAGCAACTTCAGTTCTTTCCCACAACAAACAACTTCTGTTTTTTTCCCCCGTTACCTCCATAAAGAAGTTTTAATATATTGAAGTGATCATTTTAGAATCCAGGTGTGCTAGTTACTTATTTAGCATCATTTTTATGTAAAGAACAGTGAAAACTAGGGTCCAGCCAGGTCTTAGTGAAATTTCAAAGAACTGGCCTTTTAAAAAATACTTTATATTTTGGCCCTCCCTGGTGGCACAGCGGGTTAAAGCACTGCACTGAGAAACTAAAGCCACCTCCGCATGAGTTCGATTCCCGCCTGCCCCGGAGGCGACCACATGGCGAGGCAGACCTCTCCTG